ATCTATCTATCTATCTATCTATCTATCTATCTATCTATCATCTCTCTCTCTCTCTAATCTATCATCTATCTTGACCCATTATCTGAAGGCCTAGCTCTCCGGAGAAATCTATAATGCTGGGAAAAGTGGAAGGAAAAACAAGAAGAGGACAAAAAGAGGCAATTACAGTGGCAATGGGTGCACTATTGAAAGACCCGAAGGACTAGATTGGGGACAGATGGTCCTAGAGAAAATCTTTCTATGTGGTTGCTAAGAGTTGGCACCACTTGATCTCTCTCTCTCTCTCTCTCTCTCTCTGTATATACATATACACACACTCTCTCACGCACACTGCCCTTCCTAAATATTTATTCCAGGAAGGTTCATACAACGTAATCTTGCAAAACTGAGCCTAAAATGTAAAGTTCATATGCTACCTTCTGTGTATCTACCCACAGTAGCTGTGACTCATGGAGATAATAGACAATCAGCTGCATCTCGTTCCTAGCCAGAATTGCAATGAGAGGTTAGTGTCCATTGACCCTCTTGACTCCTGATATGTCTGGGGCTTCCTAAGATATGTGTCCTTGCATTTGTTGCCATGGGAGGTTTAAAACCAGTGCAGGAAAGCCGCTCCCTGTATCGCACTTTATTACATTTAAGTGTATGAATAATCAGCTGTATAAATTAAAAAAAAAAAAAGTAAGCTAATTCTGCAAAGCCCTGGGATAAACCCAGGCATAGGGCCTCATGCATTCCAAACCCAACTTTGTTTATGTTGTCACTAAATTAGCTTTTGACAGCTTTTAATTAATGCTGCCATGCCTCAACAAGGCTGTCCAAATGTCCCTGGGCCCTTCCAAGCTCTCATGATTTCATACTCCTGCATTAAAGTAAGCATCCCTATATGATCCCCCTGCCCCACAAGGTCACCTGAAATTAAGAACCTTGGAATCTTAGTATTTCACAGGGATTAATCAAGTTAATTGGCATCAGATCAGATGTGTTTCTGATGTCAACACACTTTAATTTTATTAGCTGGTTTCCTAACTATTCAGCAACTTGCTATAGGAAGGGTTAAAGCCGTATCTTCTGCTGCTGAGAGGTTCGGCTCTTCCTCATTACTATGCAGCAACCAGATGACCTCTGTCTTAAGGCTAAAAACCTGTTTTACTGTCTGATTGGGTTTTATATAAAATTCTACATTATTCTAGATAAGCCATAAATTGTAATGCTATGGTAAATTATCATTCAATTAGACTTAACTTTATATCTGAAATAACCCAATATGAGAAACAGTGGAGATCCAGAAAGGTGGATGCACAGGTTAATGCACATGTTCCTTTTATAAACTTAGTTGGACATTTCATTACAGAATCAATAGACTATTACTGATGTATTTGATAATTATTTTTATTCTAGCTAATTTACTCTAGGCAGATATACCTCCTCAAGTTAAGCACTGATTTTGTCCCTGAGCTAACTAAATGTGAATCTCCTCTGTATACTGAACATTATCATTGAATCTCAAGATCACCTTACATCCATAGGACATATGGTGGTTTTCCCCAATCTGGTGTCTTCCAGATGTGTTGAACCTAGAACTTAAAGAATTCCCCTCAGTGTAAAAGAGGATCTCAGGTATGAGGAGGCTGGCTTATGGGATAGATACACTTAAAAAACATTCAAGCACAAGGGGACTATGTCAAAAGCTGGAAGAAACATCTGAGAATCTTCATATCTGCAGGTTTTCTCAGAGATAATGTTCCACTGCCAGTATCCATCCAGGAAGCCCACTGAGCCAGCTTTAGCCTTTATTGGAGGCACAGTGTGTCTATCTAGTGCTAGATATAGTGTGTTCCACTGCAAGCTTTCCTGGTTGCCTGGGGGCTCACGTTTCCTGCCTCCCAGTTTGCTGGGTCTCTAAGGTTTCATAAGACTGAGTCCTATGTTCTTGTTTTTGACCCATCCTTGAAATCAGAGCAAGAGAATCCTCATAATAACATTGTGCAAAAGGGGAAATTCTGGAAGTAGAAATTGCGAAGAAGGTTGCAAGTATTGAATTAATAAATACATGGCATGCCTTCAGCTGTCTGAATGTTCAGATTCTTAATGACATTAAAGAGATACCTGGTGTAGGGCTTGCTGAATCTCCAATAGCACAGTTTAGTAGTCTGGGAATGTTGCTGCTGTTAAAGATTTGAAGTATGTGTTTCAGATGTTATTCCCAAAAAAGTATTATTTAGATCATTTCACAACAACATTTCAGGTGGAAACTGAATTGAACTGTGCCATATGTGGCCTGGCAATGATCCAGGGATCTATTTTTTGGGACCATTTGCAGAACTCAGATGAAGAACCATAAAATTGAGGTCCCTAGAACCATTTTCGTATTTTATGACACTGGTGAGCACAATACAAGACTTAAATAATTCTTTTTTTCTTTTTTGATACTATAATCCTTTTGACATATATATGATCTTCTGAACACATGCAACAAAGAGGATTAGTTGGGTACAGCTAATATTGAACAAGTTTTCCTCACAACACATTTATCTAAATCCATCCAGTTACCTTCACTGTGTTTGCATTAATGACACAAGGTTTTGGGGCATTTGAGAGATACATATATTCTTCGATAACTAAATGCTTCCTTGAATCCAACATTTCCTTGAACCCAACAACAAAGAATGAAGGTTCCCATTGACACAAAAAAGCATTGGTTGACTTTATGAGGTGTGACCAAATCTTGAATCCCAGTCCAAATCATGCTGATCTGGAAAGCAATTTGAACCAAGATAGAAAATTAAAATCCAAACCAAATTTCAATGAATTGTGTTAATTTTTGTTCTTACATTGCTAGAATTTGCAAAATATCAATGGAGGCAAATACATACTATTCAAAAGAGACAAAAGACCAGAAAATCGCCTCACCAGCATTGAGTCACCAGCAATCAATCGCCAGCAATCATCACCCAGATAAGCAAAGGTTACCACCAGGCACACAATCAAGCAGCAAACATGCTAATCAAGGAACTACCGGATGAGCACAACAAAACCCCCACCCTTACCAGCACTGGCAAGGCAGGCCACAGTATATAAATAGAGAGCAAACCCCTTCCCATTTTAGCACTGAAGATGTTACCTA